AGACTCGAGCAATGTGCCCAATTTTGTAGCATTCTTGAAAGGACAATTTTCCTTTCTATGGTTTCCGCAGCAGGAGTGGTAGGGATATGGTTTTTTGTAGCTCGTATTATAATTATGATTGTTTATCATTATCATTAGTAAATTTTATAAATTATATTTATATTATCATGTTCCTCTTCTAACTGATCAATTTTATACATCATTTTGTATTCTTTATAGCTCTTTCTACTGCAGTAGCCATTTGAATAGCCTTATTTATATCTAAATCATCTTCGGATAATAATCTTCGTAATATTTTAGGATTTTTTAGTTCAAATATGTTTTTATCTCTTAAAGCAGCATTCAAATATTCTCCAAATTCACAAGTCATTAGTAATTTTCGAAGATTATATATATAGTCTATTAATTTTTCCTCATTTTTTGATTATATTGATAAAAATTATATCTCTCTACAATTATATTAGGTTTGGGATCAAAAAATTTGATTAAAATATTATTTCCAATACCTCTTTGTTTCCCGGACTATCAGGTGCACATAAATTTACCAGTATTTTTGTTAGTATCACACAGTGGCGTATCCAGGATTTTCTTATGGGGTAGGGGGATTTTAAGTTAGGTATATTATATTTATTAAAGTTTTTTTAAATGTAAAGTTGAAATAAAGTTTAATGTTATTTTTTTTATAAAATTTGCTTTAAAAACTAGGCTTAGCTTAAATTCTCATACAATATAAGTAGAATATAATTTTTTAATTGAAAATACTAATAGTAGTGTGTATAAAATATTGACTAGAAAATAATTTAAAAATCAAGTTTTTTTTAACTTCTTATCAAATAAATATTATACAAAATTTTTTATTATACTATAATTATAATGTGATTTTTAATTTTCGTGGGAATGTTGCCAATTCATCAAGAATTTCGTTTGTCATTGGAACCAAATCTCTGTGGATATTTAACAGAGCTAACCCATTTAGCCGAGATTCGGAAGTAGTACTTCCTTCGTAAATATGTTTTCAATCTTCTCAAGTTGGAAAAAGTCCTTTCATTCGTACATGTTGTAATAGGCAAACATACAAAAATATAAAACAACTTCAAAATATTAGGAAATTGAGCCAAGGTTTCTTTACACCGATTGAGCGCATCAATAGCATGCTCAGGTAAAATAGCTAAACGTAGTAAATATTTATACTACAATTCGAATTCACTGATTAAATTTATTTCAGTATCAATATAATAGGAATAAAATTTTGCTAAATATTTAATTTTACCTATAGTGGCATTAGAAAATGAAGAAGGATCTTTGGGTAATAAAACTTGAAGATTGAGACTTGTTTTTTATCTAAAAACCGTACATTTATTTGCGATAAAAAGGTATCTAAGAATGGGATGAAAATGGATATTTTATAATATTATTCAGTTGAGCCAATATTTATTTTACATCTCAATAATTGCCTAGGTGCTAGACTAGGTTTAATTAGTATTATATCATAAAATTTAGCCTTCGATTCAACGTCTAGATAAATATTATGAAAATATTCATCTACATTCATTCTTATTGTATCTACCTGTTCATATATATTTTCCGCCAAATCAATAACCTGAACCAAATCGTTTTTGTAAATATCTACAAAGTAGTGAGCTATAGGAAAATAATTCATTGATGCAACTAGCATCTATGATTAATTCTGATTGATAAATTGAATTCAATAATGATATTGCTTCTGACGACACATTACTTTTTTTCATGCTCAGCCTTATTTAACGTTTGTATTTCTATTTCTTATGTTATACAAAATGAAGTAAAATTGAAAAATATTTAAAAAATTATAGATATTTATTAATAATTAAAATATTATTAAAAATACTTAATAATTCTAACTCATTAATAATTTTGAATTTAATAAAATAATTATATTAAATAATAAAATAAATTATAGTTTGATTTCAATCTTTGACTAAAAATTTTTTCATTTTATTAATATTTTTGAATAATGTTAGTGTACTCACAAGGAAAGGAAATTTTAATAAAATTTATTTATAAAAATAAGTTTCCCCCTTTCCACCCCCCATTGGTTACGCGCCTGGTATCACATCCTATTGTTAATAGCAGTGATTTTTCTTGTGATGATGTTAAACTTAGTTGTTTTTAAATTCTTTAAATAAGTCGAACCAATCTTAGTAACACAGGTTTGAATCCGTTAGTCTTTTTATTGACTGCGTCATTCTTGAAGTGTATTTGTTAGAAGTAATTTTTGAAGTATAACCTTTTATTTTATACGTTATTAAATTGCATTTTTCATTTTATATCTAAATTCATATAATAAAATAAACATTTTACATAAAATAAAAAAATAACAAACTAAACATTTAATACATAACAGTTCTAAAGTTATTTAAAATTTCATATCATCGTAATTTTTAAGATAGTTTTTTATTAAAGTTATTCGCTCATAAGATTAGTAGTGCAGGGTTAAGAATTAATTATATTCGCTCTTTTATATATCTAGAGATTATGAAATATAAAATAACATTTCATAGAATAAAATTTAATATTACATGTGCTGAAATTCATATACCAAAAAAAGAAGCCCTTTCCAAAATCATGATAATCGCTATAATTTTAAAATAGTAATTATGAACGAAAATGGAATTTTTTTTTCATAATAAATTTTACACTTTCAAATTTTTAGATGAAGACAGACAAGATGCTAAGAATGTGTATTCACAAATAAATTTTATACATTTTATGTTTTTTTTACTTAAAACAGATCAGATGAGACGTTATTTTTTACAGTTTTTTTAAATGAAGATGGACCAGATAAAACTTAGAGTTATTATTTTCAAATAAATTTTTTATACACCTTAAGTTTTATGCATAATATTTTTTGAATTTAATAGGGTAATATAATATTTACATAAGGAGAGAGCTTAGGATGTTGAAATTAGAGGTTGACGCGGTCCAAATTTTTTATTCAAGACCCGCCCTCTCACGTTTATACTAAAAAAAAATTCACGTATAATGTATTTTTTTAGCCAACCAGCTTACTATAAAATCTACCTAATTTGTAGTATTTAAGAATCCACTAATTAAGTCACATTTACAAATAGAAATCTTTATTTAAAAGATAAAAATGATGCCAATATTTTTATTTTATTTGCGTTAAAAATAATCGCTCACTGGAAACTGAATGGTTGGGGCTGAAAATTTTTTACTGGCATTTTTAAAAAAGGAAAAGATCCAAAATTTAATAAAAAAATAATGAAATAAGTTTTTTTATAAAATAAAAAAATGTTATAAATTTTGAAAAATTGTAATAGTTTCAATTTTTTGTTAAATAGAATTTTAAAAAACAGTTTATTGGGAAAAAAATCTTGTTACAAAATGTGTAAGAAAGGATATCAGATTTTTAAAGATATCTTTATAAATTTTTCCGTGATTCATGCAAAATTTCTTACCAAGCTCAATCACGCCGGGTGATTTTTCGGAAAAGTCTGTCAAGACCAATCATGGAACGAAATTCAAAATTCACATTCACGGCGTAACCCGATGAACATGAGACATAATCAAATGTAGGAAATTTTTTAATTGGACGAAATATGTTGAGACATAATTCAAATGTAACAAATTTTCTAATTGGATGGAATATGTTAAAATCTTGGTATATATATATCCAAAATGGGCCATACTTATTTGGCAAGGCGATAATTTTATAGGTTATTCTTCATTTTGTTAAATCATTTGTTGAGCGGGTTTTTTAAATTTAAAAATTTAATTTAGCCAGAAATGTATTCCAATGTGTATAATACCTACCCTATAATTTTAGGCAATTCTATAACAAACTATTAAAAAAATTTTAGTTAATATTTAAAATATTTGGAAAAATTAATATAAATATAACTTTCTTCAAACGTTTTAAAATTGCCAGATATTCTACTTATACACATATTGGAATACATTTCAGGCTTTAAAAAACGAGTTATGAATTAAAGTTGAAAAATAACAATAAATGAATTAGCACCTTCTAAAAAATATTAGAATTTTTTGCTTTTGCTTTTGACTTTTAAAATATTAATTTAGAAAATGATTTAAAAATCTAAGTTTCGAAGGAAATGGCCTTAATTAAAATAAATATCACAAGAGAACTATACACCCCCCCCCCCTCTAACGCTTTGTAGGTATTAATAAATCAAATTCAATAAAGAAGTAACTTTATTTATAAATCAAATTTAATATAATGGTTGTTGTAAATGCTTAGTTTTGTTTGCATAATATATCGCGATGTATCACAATTAAAATAATAAAATCAATACAAAAAATATGTTATTAGAATAGAATCAGACTTAATTTATAACTGAAAAGATTGTCGCCATTAATTAATTATGCATAGTTATTTCTATAAGATATAAAATATGATTATTTCAAAAAATATTATGAGCAAAATGTTGAGTAATACAATATTTGGTTGGAATTATTAAATAAAAATATCGAAATGCAAAAATTATACAATTAATTTAAAAAATATAAAAGATGAGCATATTTTAGAGTGAATTGATTCCAATTTAAAAAATTTATCAAATAAATTGATATCTATAACATATTTTAAAATTGGAAAATTTTGGTTTTTAAAATAAATTAATATCACACTTGTAAAAAATATTATTATAATCGTGTTTCATACATAGAAGTTAGAAACTTATATAATATATTCTTCATTTAAAAAAAAGGTTTTCAGTAAAGAAAGTGGAATAAAGAAGGTTAAAATTTTAAGGTTATAATTTACATAAAAAAATAGAATTCATGAGTAGAAACAGATTTTTATTATATATGGGTTTGAGACATAAAAGATATTTGATAAAAATTAAAACAATATATTTTAGTACTATATCATGAAATAGATTGAGATCACTGTGTGACTGATTCTCGTACTTTATACAAAAAATTATATTTTTTTTCAATTCTAATTGTACTAATTTTGCTATCTTTAAAGCAAAATAAATTCATTCATCAAAATATTGGTCCAATAAGGCAGTTTCGGCAGTGATACGTTTAAGAGAGTTGAATTCTAGCATTTTCTTATTTTTGAAATAAAAAAAAATGATATAAATTGAAGCAAATATATTTATGGGTTGGGACGAACTATGACGGGTTTGTCGTTAGAATCGGGTTCTTAGTTAGGTTCGATTTGTAAATTTTATTTATTTTTAATTAACAAATTCAATTTTATTGTGAACAATTTTTTTCCAAGCTATTCACAGTAAAAAAAAGGAATATAAATAACAGTTGTTAAACTCTACTTTCAAAAGTGGCTGGCTACTATAAAACTACTTTGTAAAAAAAGTAGCGCGGTAATTACTAAATTCAAAAAGTAGCTTTTGAATAGTTAATTTTTATATATTTCACACATTTAAAAAATTGTAATAAAATAAATTAAAATTTATTTCTTTTAAATTTTTTTAAAATATAATATCCAAATTTGGAAAAGAAAACCCATTACTCACAATTTTTTCAATTATATAATCTCCTTCTTATAATATCTTGTCTCATCACTTTATTTTCAGCTTATTTATAAAAATTTTGGATCAGGTCGATTAGATTTACATTACAAAAAAAATAATATAAATATATTTAAATATCAATATTATAATTTAAAATTTATATTATAAAAGGCCAACTAGAGCAAAGATACTTTTCAAAAAATAGTAGCGGGCTACTTCTAAACCTACAAATAAAATAGCGCTCTACTTTAACAATATTGAGAAATAGATTATCAAGTTGAGTAAGATGATATAATTATCATTTGAATTAGATCACGGCTTAAAAATCCAATACATAAATTTTTTAATTTAATCTTATGAAGTTGTATTATAAGATAAAAATAAATATTGTTACAAGAGGTGCCAGTAGTTTTTTTTATTAAGGAGCGCTTAAAAGCTTAGATTATGAGATCCCATAAAATTATTTTAAAAGGGTTAATTTTTGTATTGTTAAAGTGTTAATAAATGTTTTAGAAGCCTTAATTACCTAAATCTTCTAAATAACCTTATAGAGGGTGCACAAAAAAGAAGTGTCATTTTTATTTTAAAGGTGTCAAGCAAGGCTGTGCCCTTCCTTCTGATACCAATAATTGTGTTAGTTATCATATTTTCTTATTTTGATATTTGCAAATAAATGAAATTTTTAATAGACATTTTGTTTATATAAGTATTAAAAACCAAAATCAGTCCGGTTCTTATAAGGCGGCTCACTGTTCAGTCTTTAAAAATCGCTCCACACTGAACCATGACTTTCGCTAATTGTGAAGGTGATATTGCAACCAAAAATTTTAACTAAAATAAGATATAGACGCTCTTTCAATTTTTAGATACAAATATGGGCAAGTACTTCAAAATTATATGTATCATATTAAAAAATCATAAACATTATTAAAATGATGTGACATTAGATTACATATAAAAGAAAGAGGGCATCGTTTTTCATGTGAGGTATTATATTTTTTAAAGCAACACTAGGAGTCTTATGAAATTTATTAGCCATTAATTCATACGGTACAGGACATCCAAGAGGCCAATCTGATATATCCGGTAAACCAATTATCCTATTCAGGTGAATATAAAATATATACTTAAAACTATAAATTAAAAAAATGCTATATAGAAATTTTTGTAATGTATGTAAAAAATAAATATAATTATTTTACAAATTTAAGATTAATTTGTATTTTTATTGAGAAATTTACATTATGTATTTGTAGTGCTGTAAACGTTTCTTCAAAAATGAAAAGCCTTACTCGTTATTTAAAAAATAATAAATATAAATTTTCTTTAATTGTTTTTTCCCGATAATCAAAATAAAATAATACAAAATAATATACTATAAGATAAGATCTTATTGTAAAATTTTTATTTATTTTTAACAAATTTTCAAAATTTTGATCATAATAAACAAGCAGGGTTGCCATGTCTCCCCCCATCAGTGGGAGTCTCCCACAATTTTTTTGTTTACCCAAATACATCTCACTCCCACAAAACTCCCACAATTTTTTTTTAGCATTTTAAATAAATAATAATTTTGAGAGACAGTATTTGATTATTTTTATATTTTTAAAATAAATTTTAAATATAATATGTCTAGTTCTTTTATTTTATTTTTCCGCTCTAAAATATATTTTTTATAAAATTCTCCAATTCTCCACTCGACATTTTCAAAATTTTTGTGTTAGAAAGAATAGAAGTTAGAACAATATGTATAATTATTATAAATATATTTTAAATTACTTAATATATTTTATATCGTTATCTAGAATTGCAGTGCTCCACTCGACATTTTCAAAATTTTTGTGTTAGAAGAACAGAACTTTTAGAAGTGGATATTATATCCCATATACCAAACAGATTTAAGTAATAAAATGTTCTATTTTGCTAAAAAAAAATTTCGAGGATGAAATGTCAGAAGCATATTTGGGATTAGTTTCACATGAAGGAAATCTACTTCATGTAGTTAATATTCGGTTGCAATCAGAAGATTCTTTATTGATAAAGATTCACAAAATCATGCTACAGCTCTGTTCATCTCTACAGTTAAAAATAAATAATTTTATGGCGCTATTGCTAAAAATATCATATTAAAATGTTCAAATATTACTATAATTAACGTATTTTTAAATGAAGCAAATATTTTTATTAAGACAATTTTGGAATATTTACAATCAAGATTTGATTTTAATAACTCTATTTACAAGTGTATAAATATTATGACCTTGGAACAGAAACCATCATTTGATGGTTTTTGTAATTTAATAAATATATTAAAATTACTGATAGACATTGAAGCCTTGTTTGAAGAGATTGTAATTTTTTCCATTTTTTATGATTCGCCAGAATATTAGATGGTCTAAAAGCAGAGGAGAAATGGGTGGAATTTTTTCGTAATAATGATAAATCCCTATGCTTGGAAAAAATTTGCGAGTATGTTTTCTCCTTACCTCATTCTAATGCCTCATCGGAGCGCATTAGCCTGATGAGGACTGCCTGGAGAAAGGAGAGAAATCGAATTGCTTTAACAACATTAGAGGCCGAGTTAATGGTTAAACAAAATTATAAAATGTCATGCCAGGAATTTTATAAATATCTTAATAACGACGGTAAACGTTTAGTTCCATTATTTAAATCTCAAATAAAATATAATTAACTATAACTATTTGACTTTCTATATTTGCATAAAATCAAATAAATTTATTTTTTACATTGTAAAATTAATATTTTGAAAATTTTGGCAAATCATAAAAATAAAGAAGCATTACAATCTCCTCAAACATGACATCATATTAAATCTTATTAATAATTATCCGATAATAGTAATAATATTCTTACTTTGGTATTTCTGCAGCATAATTTAGTGAATCTTTATTAAATTATATTCTTCTGATTGCAACTGCATATTAACAGTATATAGTAGATTTCCTTAAAATTCCTAAATATACTTCTGCCATTTATTTTTGAAAATTTTTTTCAAAATATTAGGACAGCTTTTATAATCTATTTATTTTTTAAAGGTTTGTAAAATTTTAAAATTCTACGATGGCGCGTAATAGGAGGAACCTGTCAACCAACATTATGCTGACTCAATTCTGTAAATACACTCTGGTTTTTGCCAAATTCACTGAGGAATTATCAGATCAGAAAGCTGCCATGCAATACATTAGTAATGCCAAATCTGCCTAATTTACCATTATATATGGTTAGCTATGTCTTTGGATATTTCATATCTGGAGAAAAATTTTTTAATAGTTTTATTGAAATGACATTAATTTTGTTGAAATAGGGGAGGATCAAGGGAAATGTTTTGATATCTCCTTGTTAGATGCATCTGTTAGAATTGCATATGTTTGCACATCTTTCAAATCGTCAAGAATTGACCTTCTGGATTTATATCCTAAAACATTAATGATAGCCTTGCTCATTTGTGTTCTACAAAGTATACTTTTCATTTATATTAGTCGTTAAATATTATGGGAAAAGATTCTACCAACATTGTGATATTAAGTAGCTCTCTGAATGTTGTACTGCATGATAGGTATTTACCATTTCCGCAACTATAGTTGCATCTGTATTATTTCTTATTTTTGAAGAATCTTTTTGTTTTGCAATAGATGTTGATAGACTGCCCTGTACTGATTTATGCTTTGAAGATTTTTGATGCCTCAAAATATCATATTCCCTTCCCCCATTGTATTAACTAAATACTGTAGAACAACTTCCCCGCACTGATTATAATTATTTTTTACATTGTAAATTTAAAATTGTTTGTTTTTTTATAATATCTTATTTATACATTAGCATAAAATATATTTTTCTACATTGTAAAATTACAATTTTTTTATAAAATTTTATCTTGTTTACATTCTTTTGTATTTAAAAAAGATCGTTGGTTATTATTTTTAAACAAAATTAATATATTATAATAAATCAATATGTTATTTTAATAATAAAGATAGTATTTAAGAAATTTTGTGTCGTACTATAATTACCTATTTTGAAAAATAGTTGCGTATTTTATTTTGGAAAATAGTTACCTATTTTATTTTGAAAAAGAGTTGAATATTTTATTTTGAAAAATAGTTGGCTATTTTATTTTGAAAAATAGTTGGCTATTTTATTTTGAAAAATAGTTGTCTATTTTATTATAAATAGTTGGCTATTTTATTTTGAAAAATAATTACCTATTTTATTTTGGAAAATAGATTCGATTTTATATTTATAAAAAATAATAAGCGGATAACTAAGTCAATTCTAAATCCCGGTTAGCAATTTTCATATTTCTCCCACAATTTTTATATTACTCCCACAAAATACCGAATTCTCCCACAATTTGAAAATTTTGACCTGGCAACCCTGTAAACAAGAGCGCATAGTGCTCAACGCAGCTTTCGCCGTGCTAATACAGGTTCAGCTGGTACAAAGGATAGGAGGGGGGGTTCAGATTATTCATAAAATTTTAAAATAATATATAATAAAATATATTTTTCCCATTTAATAAAAAATTTAGGCAACGAGTAACTTTTTAAAGTTAATTTACAGCACCATTTATTTGATATATATACTAGAGCCCTACATCTTGGTAGAATTTTGATTTTAACATTATGATTCGGACAAAGCAAACATTGATAAAATTTAAAATTATTTTATTTTTTCTTAAGTATTCATAAATAATATTTTAAAAAAGACCAAAATCTTTCATTTTCCTTCAGAGTTTTTGATTTATCTATTTTCGTTATATATCGTAACCTAGAGTGTGATAAAATAAAATATCGACTTGGATCCTTATTTTAAAAATACTTGGATTGGATCGGTCAAACAAGTTTTAAAATAAATAAGAGAGGAGAACTTGTACCCTATAAAAAACTTGGTTAATAATTTATATATCATTATTATTCACAATGATATATCGGTTTTGTTGTAATTGTAATAACATGCAAATTTACTAGATTAAGAAAAACGCCAGACAGGCAAATTACTTTTAAACCAAATTACGAAGCCGAAAGATATTCAAATCTACTAAAGAAAAAAGAATTAAATTTCGATACAAATTGAGACTATGCAAATGTTGATTAAAGAAAAATGAATAAAAAAGATTTATTATTCAAATTAAATAAAGTTCAAGATTTTTTCAGTTTGTTTGTAAAACATTATGTAAATGAATATTATAGAAAAGTATATATAATCGAGGATATTTGTCTTGTAAAAAATAATTATTATGATTATGATTTTACGAACTTACTTTTTTTAATCTTTAATTTTTTTTAATTTTAATTTATTTTGATTATGGTTTTATCTTATTACTTAATAAAGATTTAGTATCATTTTAGTTTTAACCTTTCTTTATTTGACAACGGTTCTAATCTCTCAATCCTTAAAAAAAACTTCAAAATGTTACAATGATTTTGGAGAGTGGAGGCGACAGGGCAATTTCAACAATTCAGTGTAATTAACTCTGAAAAGAAATTCTAAATAAAGGGGGAAGGGGATGTATGAAATGACGATCGACTAAGACAAAGAATGAGAGCAATAAAACAATGGTATCAATATTAATGGTCGAATTTCGGAAGAGAATAGAATTAGTCGTTTAATTAAAAGGAATTCGTCACAAGAGATCGTTATACATACAAGTGATCGATGTGGCTAAAAGAAATTCGTTATAAATTTTTATTAAAGATATACGTTTAACTGTTATTTGAGTTGATAATATTTAGCAAAATATCAGGTTGTTGATTAACCAAAAAATCTTCATAAAGAGAAACGGCTTTTCGTCATTAGAAAATTTATGCCGCAATCGAGCTCAATTAGAGATCGGATTTTTATTTTGGATCAAAAGATACAAGAAATCATTATCGTATAAAAGATCTTAAGGCAACGTGGATATCTGGACAAGCGACTAGGTAGAACAAGTGGTCAAGTCCAGGATGCTATCGTTAATCGTTGACAAATTATCGCCAATTGCTTATCAAAACTTTAGTATGGGATAAAAAATCGATGATCTTAGAAACAAGAAGTCGTGGAAACAATCGTTACTCGCAGACAAATTATCGTCAGTCGTTTACCGTCATTAGTTACTAGAAACCGTTAGAAACCAAGGGGATTAAAACGAAATATAATTAAAAGAGACTAGAATAATGTATCGGGAATCATAATAACAGGCGTGAATCAAGTTCGTCAATTGCCTAGAGATCAAGAGATAATCGTTTACAAGGGGTTGACAAGAAACAGAAGGAATCAAGAATTTCAGATTGTAATCTGATAACAGTCCTTAGAAGTAAAAAATATGACAATAGACCTCCGTCGTTAGAAACTAGAAGACATTAAATATTAAGACGAATAGATTCGGTGGAGAAACAAGATCAGTAAAGTCAAAATCGGAAGAAAGGAGATCACTCGCAGAATGGTGGGACTAATCTAAGTGGAAGGGTGTTGTAATTGTGGTAACATGCAAATTTACTAGATTAAGAAAAACGCCAGAAAGGCAAATTATTTTTAAACCAAATTACGAAGCCGAAAGATATTCAAATCTACTCAAGAAAAAAGAATTAAATTTCGATACAAATTGAGACTATGCAAATGTTGATTAAAGAAAAATGAATAAATATTCAAATTAAATAAGTTCAAGATTTTTTCAGTTTGTTTGTAAAACATTATGTAAATGAATATTAATATAATCGAGGATATTTGTCTTGTAAATAATAATTATTATGATTATGATTTTACGAACTTAATTTTTTTAATCTTTAATTTTTTTTAATTTATATTAAATTAGTTTGATTATATTTTATCTTATTATTTAATAAAGATTTAGTATCATTTTAGTTCTAACCTTTCTTTATTTGACAACGATTATAATCAAACAATCTTTCAAAATGTTACAGGTTTAATGTTCATCATTATAATTTTTTCTTTATATAAACAATTATATCACCTTTTTTCGACATCAATCATATATGTATACAAATTAAATAAAATGAGACTTTATATGATTATTGATTAGATTATGAAGGTTAAATATACTTTTCTTTAAGATTTTAATATGCGAATAAACACAGGTAACTTTTAATGGTTCCTTAGATATTATAATATTTAAATTGAAACTATAAAAATTTTTTTTAGTCGGGCTAGGGTTGGACCTAAAAATGTGTGCTTGGGCTCTGATAAAATTAAAATAGGGCTAGGTCGGGCTACGGCTGCAAAAAAATCACTTTGTAGGGTTCTACACATATATAAGAATGTGTTCAAATTTCATAATGGAACTTTGTAAATTTGTATACAAATAAAAATAAAATAAAAATTTACTCGAATATTCTGTTAATTTGATCTAATTCAGAGTTACCATTGAATAGTGGTCTATTTTTTTTATAAACCGAAGATAAATATTATAAGACAATTAGTATTTTTTTTAAAAAAAAATAGGATAATAAATCAAAAGTTTTATGTATTCGAAGTTTAATATTGCAATTCTATAAAAAAAAACATTACCTTTTGAGATACATTTCGGCTATAATACACCCACTGCTCCATATGTCGACAGATGTTGTGTAAGATGATTGCAACAATACTTCAGGTGGCCTGTACCACAAAGTAACAACCTTATAATTTTTTAAAATTTCTTTTAATTTAACAATTTCAGATTAAACGGAATTATATTTCCCATTCATTATAAAAATTTTTTAACCCTTTTACTACCTTCAGAATTGTATGTACACACAAAAATATATTTGCTTTTTATATGAGATAGTAGGATGCTTGTTTCTTCTATTTTATATAATTTCTATAAAACATATTCCTTTTGATTCAAGTAATCAAAAAAAACTTATAATATAATATTTTTAATTTACAGGAAACTATTAAAATTTGAGCATTTAGCACCCAAGTGATTAGTAAAAATAAACCATGCCTACATTTTCATTAAAGGTTGCTAGTATTTATCAAGTTAGATTTATATGTATATGAATTTTAACTACCACAGTTGTGAGTTCCATCCCTCGGACAAAGTCTCTAGCCAATCCAAAATCCGTCAATTTTAAATGACCTTTAGAACTGACCAAAATGTTTTGAGGCTTGATATCCCTGTGAACTATGGCGTGGGAATGTAAAAATTTTATCGCTAGCAATAATTGTTTGAGCAGGTCCTATTTTTTGCAATTGATAGAAGGAAAAAAATACATATAACGACCCAAAAAAAACATTATCAAAATTTGAAAATTTTGGTAGGCCAGGCCGAAAGTTCGCAATTTTTTTTCTATATTAAAAAAAATATTTACGGATCGGGCCGGACAACTTATACAAAATATTTCGACCATGAATGCATTAGAACAAAAGATTATCGCGAATACATTATATCCAATGCATTACTGTTAAAGCAATTTAGCCAAAGCATAATTACAAATATATTACCGCTTTTCAATAACCACTCCATGTCAAATCGATCACGATTCGGCTGACCCCTTTTAAAATTGTTAAAAATATCTGGAATTATTTAGATAGGTAAAAAAAAATGAGAAAGCCTTTAATTTTAGCTCGATAGCACACCTGATTTTCGAGATATAGGGGCTTATATGTAAAAAATGAGCCATTTTGGAATCTGTAAAATTTTTAAAATGCTTATATCAAAAACTATTTATAGTAAAAAAAATATAATATATCATATTATATGTAAAATAATCTCTAAAGGGCTATCAAAAAAAATAAAAAGTAGCGCTAATTTGAGTAAATTTCGGTTTACCTATATTGTTTTACCTGTGTTTTTAAGCAAAAAAGGGTTTTCGAAATTTTTTTTGCTTTTTATTTAGACACCTTTTATAAATATATACGATGTCATAACCTTGGCGACACTATCGACTCTTTCGAAATATACCTTTTTACCAAACATTAAAAAAATAGACAGCGCTTTATGAAATTACGGATTATGGTTAAAATTTTGTTGCTAAATTACCAATAATAGGATATTTTCACTTTTCATACTAAAAAATTTCGAATTTCTATTAAATATACTAATTAAATTGAGGGGCAGCAGTGGCGTAGCCAGGATTAATCCATGGGGGAGGGGGCTTTGCCTTCAAACCGCATTTTAAAAATTTATAAATATTTTGTGCTTTATTAGTGTCTAACCCAGGGTTGGCATGTCGGTCAATTGACTGGTCAAATACTCTAAAATATTAATGGCGAATAAATATTTTGATATAATTAACTAGTATGCATTAAAAGCATGTTTATCAATCTTATTATTTTTTTATTAAAATATAAATATGTAATTTTTCTAAATATAGTAATATTTTTAGTTATTTTTTTGCCTAATCATTGCCGTTTCTCGCCTTCTTTATTTTTTTCAATTCATTTTTCTTAAAAAAAATAAAAATACCCGATTTATTATAATCATAATATAATTTTTTCATTCTTATTTTTTAATAAATTTAAATTTTATTTAATATTTAGCCGAGTATAAATTATATTAATTCTCATTTGTTTTACTTACACTTGCTATATTTGGTTTTTAAAATTAATTTTCATTTTAATTGTTCTGGTCAAATTTACGGAATATTATTCAATTCTGGTAAAAAGTTTATTATATTATATTTATAATATTAAGATATTATTGGAATAATTGGTCGATAATTATAAAATAGTTAAGATTGATTAACTTTACAATAATCAAAATCATTTTTTGTTAAATTTTAATATATTAGGGATTATGGTCAAACCAAAGCATCATGTTTGGAAACATTTTAAAGAAGTACGCGATGGTAAATCAGTTAAAGCGGTGTGCAAGTTTTGCAAGATGTCCTATATCACCCACGTTGATAGAATGGTCAAACATTTATTAAGCAGCTGTACTATGTGCCCTGTTATAATTAAGGAAAAATTTTATTCAAATTCCAAAATATCAACCTCTACAAAAAATATCACAAATGTAATTTGTAATACTTCTAAGTCTAACTCTAATGAAGAATTGGGTGAAATTAGTGAGAATGATTATCAAATGAACAATATTTTGTCTTGTGACTCAGGAGAATTTGATTCCCTTATTTCTAATCAATCTACAAGCAAGGCGATTAAATATAAATCTCAATCTTGTATAACCGGTTTCATAGATAGAATTAATCCCAAAGAAAAAAATGAGCTGGATCAATTGTTTGCAAAGGCTGTATATGCGAGCAATTTACCTTTCCACATCACTGAAAATCCCTACATCCAAGAATTTTTTAAAAAAATACGTCCTATTTACACATTACCCAGGAGAAGGCAGCTGGCTGGATATCTTCTAGACAAAGCGTCAGGTAATATGGAGGTGAGAGTTGCAGATATAACAGATAAAGCTCCTTACTTATCAATTGTATCAGATGGCTGGAGCAACATTAGAAACGAGAGTATTATTAATTTTATGGTGATGACGCCTGTTCCAGTGTTCTACAAATTTCTAAATACTGAGGAAAATCGCCATACGGCAGATTATATTGCCCAGGAATTTAAAAATGTAATTCATGAATTGAATCCGGTAAAAGTATATTCTTTAGTTACTGATAATGCCGCTAACATGAAAGCAGCCTGGAGAATTCTAAAATCTGAATCTATTTATAATCATATACAATGTTATGGTTGTGCAGCGCATACATTGCAGTTATTCTTTCACGATTTTGAACGATTGGACGCCTTCAGTGACCATATTTCAATAATTAAAAAAATTGTTAAATTTTTCAAGAATAAACACATACCAGCTGCAGTATTTTCCCGTAATAAGAATCTTCATGGCATACCATCTACATTAAGTACAATTAGCCAAACAAGATGGGCATCGTCAATAAAATGTATGGAGCAAATTCAAATATGCAAGAAAGCTCTAAAAGCATCAGTTGTTGAAGAAGCTGTTTGTGATAATTGTCCCATAGAAATTACCAATAATATATTAAACGAAGAATTTTGGACGAAAAATTTAAAATTTTTAGCTATACTCCAACCTTTAGCTACCTCATTGTTGAAAGTGCAAGGGGATAAATGTACTTTGGCCCAAGTAAAAAACGAGATGCTTAATTTGGAAAAACACATAATACAATCATGCCATGATTCTATATTTTCTCCATCTCAAGAAAAAAAAATTAAGGTTATGTTTGAAAAGAGAAAAACTGATATAAATACATGTGCTCACAATGCTGCTTATTTATTGGACCCCCAATATCAAGGGGAGCATCTTACTAATACTGAATTTGATGAAGCATGTAATATAATACAAGAATTGGGTATTTTACAAGGTGGTGATAATCAAAATATTTTGAGTAATATTGTAAATTTCAGAAGCAAAAGCGGTATATTTAATAGCCATAATATGTGGAAAGTTGTAACTTCCATAAGAAACAATCAAATTTCGGCCTCAAGTTGGTGGAATGCATTTTGCCCACCTTGCCCATTAAGAGAAGTCGCTAATATTTTACTAACATTTCCTAGTTCGACTTCTTCTTCTGAAAGAAATTGGTCGGTTTGGGGCAATATTCACACGAAAAACAGAAATAGATTAAAGGCTTCTACAGCAGGAAAATTAGTAAGAGTGTATCATAATTTAAGATTGATTAAAAATATTACAGAAAATAATGATATTGAATATGAATCGGAACAAGACTCTGCCACGGAGGGTGAAACATTGACTATAGAATGAATTAAAAAATATTATGATATTTATTATTATACATAGATTTATTATAATATTATATAAATGCAAAATAAAGTTAATATTGGTGTAAAAAACATTTATTTGAATTTGACCGTATTTGACCATATTTGATGACCGAATTGTATTTGACCGGTCAAATGCACAACCCTGGTCTAACCACTATAGTAGCCAGCATAAATGAAAAAAATATTAGTAACAAAATTTTGGCCAAATTTATGATTAAAAAACATTATTTTGAAAATTTTATCAATGTTTAGACAATTGTAAATTAATTCAATCCATTCGGTGGAAAAAAAATCGCTCCCCTAACCTCCCATTTTTTATGATCACTCAATATATCTTATTCTATGTTAAAAATAATTATTTTAATTAAATTTTTGCATATAACAAAAATTTTGCAGAGAATTTCATTATAAATTTTGTTTATTATTAAAATACTTTAGTATAAATAACACTCCTTTATTTAACTATGTATTTATTTTAATGATATATAGAATATAAATTTCAAAATGTAGAAATTTTATACAGATTATATTAAAATTTAAAAAAAAATAAAATTACAATAAAATAAAATATGAGTAATTTTTTATAAGGTATTTAAAAAAATCTAATTTAACAAATATGATTAATACAAATGAGTGTATTAATAAAACAAAATAATTCTTATTAGAGATCTGAAAATCGGGTTCGGGCCTAATATTTTTTTAAAAATTTCAGGCCGGGTTGGGTCAGGCCTTGGAAATTTTTTAAAATTTATCTAAATATATAAATTTTATGTTAAATTTTTTATGTAAAATAATAATATTTTATTTATTTATTATAAAAACTAGACCATATAACATATATCTTTTATTTTGAGTAATTATAAAAATAAATTTCTATATTTAAATAATTCGGGCCAGGCCGACAAAACTTTTTTAAAAAAATTTCGGGTTCGGGCCGGCAAATTTCGGACAGGGCCGGCTTGAAAAATTAAGCCCGATGCAGATCACTAAATCTTATTGCAAATGAAATATTTTTATTAAAAATAGTATAATATATAATATTATGACTAAGAATTGTCTATAATTACGTTTTGAATATAAAAATTTTATGACTAAGAACATATTATAATAATAGAGCAATTCTATGATTTGAATTTATAAAGAGAGGTCTACTTTACTCTGAGATTTGACTAATTCATCTAGAATCAAATTTTTATCTAAAATAATATCCTTATAAATATTTAATATTGCGAATCCATTTAAACGGATTTCACAGGTGCTATTTCTGAAATAGGTTTTTAACCTTTCAAAGTTGAAAAAGACCTTTCAATTAGTGCAGGTGTTAATCGGTAAGTTAGCTAAAATAAAAAATGTTTTGATATTAGGCAGGGAATCTAAAGTGCAATTACACATGAAAAGGGCCTGCAAAGCATTTTTTGGTCTCAAAGAGTACTCTATTCTGTCAAAAATTTTATACCAAAATTCG